TATCATTATTGATATTTATATTTTTCTTACTAAAATTATACCAAATTGCCATTACTAATTATTATTTTATTTTCTTTTTTCTTAATAAAACTTTTGTTAATTTTTAATTTAAACTTTCGGTTTTACAAAAATAAAAAAAGAAATAATTTAAAAATATAAACATGCATATCCATAAATATATAAACGAATTTTAGTTTTAGTTTTAGTTTTATTTTTATTTTCGCAAAGCAGCATAAATAAAATGAAATAACTATAAATTTTAAGAACTTATAGATGTATGTATATATATATATATATATATATAACATAACTTCACAAAACAAATTGACATAATAAATAATTTTTTTCAAAAAAATATTTTAATATGAATATATTTTAGTAAATGATTAAAAATAACATATTTTTTTAAAACATAAACTGTTCAATTAATATCATATTTTCAAATCTTTTTAGAATTCATATATTTTAGTAAATGATTAAAAACAATAATTTTTTAAAATATAAACTTATTAATTAATATCATATTTTTCAAAGATGTTATATCTTATTACTATCTTAAACCCAATTAAATATTTAAAAATGTGAAGCTGTATAAAATTATAAAATACTACTTGTTATTATGACTATTTTTATTAATAATTAATTTTTAATAACATAAATTAATCATATAATATCATATATTAATAAAAATATGTAATGAATAGCTTGAAATTAATAAATAACTTGAAAATTAAATGTATTCTTGTTACTTTATCTGAATTGAGTACGACCAGATTGATGGAAACAAACTTATATGATTTCTTATGTAATAGTTACTTTCTTAAACTTAAACTGATCAACGAACTTTCAAAGTGGTAGTGACTCATTTTGTTTATGCAACTCTAAATCCCTCTACACTGATTTATTTAATTTTATCGGAAACATTCTATAGAAAAGTATAAAAATCTAATTAACAACATTATACTTATTTCTGTCTAATTACAACCAAAATATTATTCATTTCAAAAAAATTGATTAAACAAAATATACCAAAATATGAATAACCGAACCGGTAAAATTAGAATAATCAGATAATCCCCTTATTGTACTTTAGTTATTTTATATGAATAATATTTTAAATCCTGATTTTGTATTTATGTTCCCATTTTTCTCTATATAACATATATGAAAATTATTCAAAATTTTATAAAATAAGTAGATGAACTGAAATAGTTTAAATTAAGAAAAGAATAATCCAATTTTAACCTAATTAAAAAAACCATGTATTACAATAGAATATGCATTCAACTAAATATATCCAAAATATTATAAATCACTTACCTAATTAAAATGAGAAAATATTATAAATCACTTAATAATTTTTTCTTTTTTTTATCATACATATTAATTAGAAAATGATTTAAAACTGATAAAAAAGAAAAATATTACAAATTATTATATTTTCTTTTATTTTATAAATATTTATTCATGTGCATAATCACATGAGAATCACCTAGGAGTACCAAAAAAAACAAAATAAATGACGTATTTTAAGAGTCCATAACTCAAAATTTTATCATACTTTAATTAAACAACCTCGACCAAGAAAATGTAGAAATTAAAAATGATTAATCAAATGTTTTGGCGAAATTAATAAGAAAGAAAACTTAACATTCTTTCAAATAAAGAAAAAAACTTAACATCGTGAGATACACGTCTATTTAAAATAAATATGTGTGTTGTTCTGGTGAGTGGTTTTAACATTGCACGTTCTGATTAGTAAAGTAGTCAACACGTCATTCATAGTATTCATACCTAATACATCATTGTCCTTTTCAAATTCATCGGAAAGTATCTACAAGTTGGTTAAATCGCATCGCTAACCAGACGACGTGTTGTCCACTCTCCACGACCTTTCGGTTTAGTTTATGAACATAAGTTATTTATTCTTGCGAACATTTTTCTTAGGATATAAAAATAGCTACAAGAACAATTCCACGAAATTTGCATGACCAAACGAATAACTGTAAATCAGCAACCACGAGACACGAGTGGTCAGGTGGTATATGGCAGTCCAGAATCTCTAATGGCAAATCAATTGCTATTTAGTTTATCTTAACTTGTGGTCACGTGGATATATATTAATACTTTCGACCTATTAGAATACTTGGACCGAAGCTTCATCAATTTACAATATTTTTTTTGTGGGGATTAGTATGGGTTTTGGTCCGAAATATCCTCGGTTAAACAAAAAAAACTATAAATCAGTAGTCAATAGATAATTAGGGACTATACTACTTTAATCTGACGAAATAGAATTGACGGGCGTTTCTGTCGAAAATCGGTCAGAACAGACCATTTCTAACCGTTTTCTAACGGATTTGCCCGTCAGAAACGACCCTTTTTCTTGTAGTGTAATCGAAACTTTAATTATTTTCTTGATTCATAAGTAATTAATAATAGTTCAAAAGAGATAATTTCTAACACAAGCACCATCAGTCGTCCTAGTACATCGATCAACACTCAACCTTAATCCGAGGGTTTTACTTTTATGATGCAAAAGGAAGAGGAGAGGAAAGAAAGAAGGTCGCTGTAGGGTTGTTAGTTGGAAGCTGTAGGAACTATTGCATTCAAGGTATGAGAGGGCCTTTCTCTCGGAAACTCACGGTAGCTGTTCAGTTTTCTTGTCTAGTCTCGGAGTATTAGGTTTGATATCATCTCGTTATTAATCCATTTTACTGCTTGGGTTGTGTTGTTATTTTTTCCGGTCTTTGATTTTGCCCGTAGCATGTTTTGGTGTTGTGTTGTTGTTTTTCATTTCTCACTATTCGTCATCTCTTGTATCTTTGGTCAAAAATAAAAATCTATATAATAATAGTACACTTTTGAAGCTCCTCAGCGTGTCCACGTCAGCAAGTTTGCGGGTCCCGTGTGTGTTATTAGGGAAAACAAAAACGTATAATATTTCGTAAGATTGAATGTTATCGATGAGTGATGAAATAGCCCAGTGGTGTAAGTTGGTGACAAGAAGTTGGTACCGCAAGTGCGCGGATTCGAAATGTAGTGCTTGCATATAATTTTTTTTTTTTAATTTGAGCTTTTTGGGATACCTAAAAGCTTAGGGAGATTCAAAATGATTTTTTATGCTGGTTGTTAGGATACAAAATGGCTTAAGGATTTGAAACTTTATGAAACCATCTTAGATACTTATATAAGAAAGGTTATCATGTTCTAACCTCCAATATCATTTCAATTCAGTTATAATCATCAAATAAAATAAAAACATATTTTTCAATAATAAACATTTACCCCAAACCATTCAGATCGACCATAAATCTCATATACATCAGAATTAAATATATATATATATATATATATATATATATATATATATACAACATAATTTCAGAAAGAAAATTACACTAATAAACACATGTCATTTTTTTTTGTCTTGTCTCCATTAAACTATATGAAAGCACTAATAACAGTAATGCTCGATAAAACTACTAATAAAAGAAATGCTCGATAAAATCACTACGAAGTTAAAAATGAAAATAGCAACCCATATGAATTCGATGTTTATTCTTTTATCAGACTAATCAAATTGTGTGACTTCTAATGTTTTATTCATCACCATTATACATAAGCCAGATAAACAAATGTTAAAAAAAAACAGCAAAGTCTCATACACAAAACTACACAACACATCAACAACGTATCCAATCTCTGCGCTTACGCGGGGACTATGCATCTAGTAGATATAAGATTTAACATTTTAACAGAAAAAGAGGAAGATGGTCGCCATTGGTGGCCAAGGAGCACTCAGCCTTAATATTTATTGGGGTCAATATCAATTTATAGTTAAATATAGTTTTAAATAATTATTAAAAACATTAAAGTATTTAATTAATATCCAAATATTATGTTGCAAACTTATATAAAAATAAAATCATATTAAAAAGTATTAATAAAAAATAGAAGTTTTTGATTGCTACAAAAATAAAACAGGAAAATTAATTAAAAATTAGAAGATTATAAAAAAATAGACATTGAACAATGGAAAATATGATTATCGATTGGAAAAATCTTGAGTTCAAACTAATTTTCAGCAGATACTAGATGGTCAATAAACTAATCTTACAACATTTTTTTTTTTTTGTAAAAATACAAGCAATGTTGTGTTTTTAAAAAATCATTAGAGTCAGGTGATCTCTTCCCTCCAACGTACCCGTCACTGTCAAGAAGGACAAACTTTTAAAGTTAGAGAGAAGCCAGTATAAGGCAATTGAGAGAGAAATAAGTCTGAATTATGATTAATGAATGTAATGTATGGAAAAGAACTTGGTTTTGATACATGAAGACAGCAGTTTACTTTTGCTATCTAGCTATACGCTTGTGCATTTGATGGTATCATGCACTTACATCTCATTGAATAGTCCGGAGAAGATCATGCACATCCCCAAGTGGTCTAAGAAGAAATATGCCCAACTCTAAACAGTTTCTTTCTTTTCTAAACCCTTTATGCAATCCAATTCAAATGATCACTATTTTTATAAGTTTTGTAAAACTCGCATTCTTATTAGACGTTTTGAACATAATTTGTGTTAGTTTATATCTTTATAATTATAAATTTCAAAATATTCCAACTACATAAAATATTCATCCATAAAATAGGCTATTTATTCAAGAAAATTAAAATGTATTTATTACAAAAATTTATAGGCATAACATAAGTTGATCTACCAAAGTTAAGATATATGTATAGATAGTTTTTCACCAAATACAAAACTATATTCATATTTAAGTTGGAAATACAAATGTAAATTAATATAATTATCTGCACACAGCTTTCTTTTTTTTGATCAAAAATCTCCACACCTCTTTTAACTATTAATAGTAGTAAACTGCTCGTCCCTACCCACTAGTCCCCATCAATAGATTTATCATCTGGATGCAAATCAATATAATAAAAGAAGTTGGTACAAAATTAAAATGAAAATGTAAATGGTAAATGGTCACGGGAAAATAATACAATAATTGCATAAAGAAAGAGTCAGCAGCACATGGAGAGAAGAATGAAGGGTGGTGTCTCCCCTCGTCTCCTCTTCCACTCTTTAAAAACGAAACAAAACAAAGTCATCGTCTTCCTTCCTTCCTCAGATTGAGAGAAAAATGGAGAAAACAAATCCAAGACGACCTTCAAGCAGCGTCCTCCCCTACGAAACACCGAGACTACGCGATCACTACCTCCTCGGCAAAAAGCTAGGCCAGGGCCAATTCGGCACCACCTATCTCTGCACAGAGAAATCCTCCTCCGCCAACTACGCCTGCAAATCGATCCCCAAGCGCAAGCTCGTGTGCCGCGAGGATTACGAGGATGTGTGGAGAGAGATTCAGATCATGCACCATCTCTCCGAGCACCCCAACGTTGTCCGGATCAAGGGGACTTACGAGGACTCCGTGTTTGTTCACATTGTCATGGAGGTTTGTGAAGGCGGGGAGCTTTTCGATCGGATTGTTTCCAAAGGGCATTTCAGCGAGCGGGAGGCTGCTAAGCTGATTAAGACGATTCTTGGCGTTGTCGAGGCGTGTCATTCGCTGGGTGTTATGCATAGAGATCTCAAGCCTGAGAATTTCTTGTTTGATAGCCCTAATGATGATGCTAAGCTTAAGGCTACGGACTTTGGTTTGTCTGTCTTCTACAAGCCAGGTTTGATGATTGTTTATCTGATTGATTGCTTCTTGATTCACTTTTCAAGAAATGTCTTGTTTCGTTTCTTGATCCAAGCAAATGGGTTCTTGATTAGCTAATCTTGATTATAATCTGGGTTTGCGTTCGTTTTTTGATTGATTGCTTCTTGATACGTATGCGTTTATGGTTTCTTGATATGGTTAGACTTTTGATAAAATCTGAATCTTTGTTGAGCATTGTTAGGGATGTTTTCTTTGTATAGATTTTTCTGAATCAGGCTTTGACGCTTTGTTAGGATTTTATGAATCTCTTGTAGATAAAAGCTTCATTATTTCAGATGTGTATCAGATGTTAATTTGGTTTCTTGATCCATAAGTTGGATAAAAATCAGATCATTTTGAATGGTCAATTCAACGTTGCTGTTTGAGCATATTATTGTTAGGGAAACATTTATTTACTTTGACTTTTTGTTGAGATAAGCCTATCCAGGAAAATAAATGCTTCATCCTTTCAAATGTGTAATACGTGCTTATGCAGCAATGCTTTTAGGGTCAATTATACTGTCTAACGAGACTCTCATTATGTTGTTTTGCACTTCAGGGCAGTATCTGTATGATGTAGTGGGAAGTCCGTACTACGTTGCTCCCGAGGTTCTCAAAAAATGTTATGGACCAGAGATAGACGTGTGGAGCGCTGGTGTTATCCTTTACATCTTACTAAGTGGTGTTCCTCCTTTCTGGGCAGGTAAGTTTATAAAAAAGACAGTACTTTTGTTATTACATTGCTTGTGTGATTTATGCTTCTTTGTTCTCATTTGCTTTGCAGAAACTGAGTCAGGAATCTTTAGACAGATTTTGCAAGGGAAGCTAGATTTCAAATCTGACCCGTGGCCCACTATCTCAGAAGGTGCCAAAGATTTGATTTACAAAATGCTTGATAGGAGCCCCAAGAAACGCATTTCTGCACATGAAGCATTGTGTAAGCTATATTTTAAATGATTATATTTCTTTGTTAGCTCCTATAAAATGTCACAATTGAGTTTACCTCTTATGATTTATTATTAGGCCACCCGTGGATCGTTGATGAGCAGGCAGCACCAGACAAGCCTCTTGATCCAGCAGTCTTGTCTCGACTAAAGCAGTTCTCACAGATGAACAAGATTAAGAAAATGGCCTTGCGGGTAAGGATTAACAAAAAAATACGTTCTTTAATATATGGTTCCATTGCTTAATGTCAAGAACTGGTTTCTCGGTTAGGTAATCGCTGAGAGACTCTCGGAGGAAGAGATTGGTGGTCTGAAGGAATTGTTCAAGATGATAGATACAGACAACAGTGGAACAATCACCTTTGAGGAGCTTAAAGCTGGTCTGAAGAGAGTCGGATCTGAACTAATGGAATCAGAAATCAAGTCTCTTATGGATGCGGTAAGTTCTCTTTTAATGTCACCGCACAAAAGATGTTGTAATAGATTCTCACGAGGCATGAACTGGTGTTTGGCAGGCGGATATAGATAACAGTGGGACGATAGACTATGGTGAGTTTCTAGCAGCGACACTACACATGAACAAGATGGAGAGAGAGGAGAATTTGGTGGTTGCATTCTCATACTTTGATAAAGACGGTAGTGGTTATATAACCATTGATGAGCTTCAACAAGCCTGCACTGAGTTTGGTCTCTGTGACACTCCTCTTGATGACATGATCAAGGAGATTGATCTTGACAATGTAAGAACATGCCTTCATGATATATTTATTACCTTTTGTCTTATTTCTTTGTGGGTTTGTGTAGTAAAAATTGATTCAATCGGTTTGGTTTAGGATGGGAGGATTGATTTCTCGGAGTTTACTGCTATGATGAAGAAAGGAGATGGAGTTGGAAGGAGCAGAACCATGATGAAAAACTTGAACTTCAATATAGCTGATGCTTTTGGGGTTGAGGAAACCAGCACTGCTGAACCTGATGTTAAACCAAACTAATATACCTTTTGGAATTGAGAAATGAGGACCCCTAAAAGGACAACTGAATCTTTCATCTCTCTGTGTTTTTGTTTTGGTTTTACTTCTGTAGATGATAATTTGCAACTTTCTAAATTTTGATTCAAGTATGGATTATTGTTGCTTCATTATTCTATGCCTTCATGAAGTTTGAATAAAAAAAACTTTAGTATTTGCACTATGAATTTAGGAAAATGGATAAAAACACATGAACGTTGTTTTACTGACATTATCTAATCATTGTGGTGTAAGATGTTATTTTTATGTGGGGATTTCAGTTTAGTTTGTGACTATTTTTTTTTGTTAGACCATTATCAGTTGCTAAAGGCCTTCAAAGTTTATAAGCACATGACTGTTTTGCATGAGATGAGAGTATTTCTCTCATTGTCAGTTGTTGTTGAGATATATAGCATTTTTTAACACAAAATAGTTCATGAATGTTAGTTTCAACTTTGTATGTAATCCCTTGTGCTTTTCTTTTCTTAGCCAGGCTGCAGAGTCAAATCTCTGAATCAAGATACAATTTAGAAAGCGCTCTTGGAATCGAGATTCATTAAGATAGCTAGACGAAGCACTTACTGAAAAAAATGAGAGACTACATAGAACAGATTTGAATCACGCAAAAGTAATAATAAACCAATCAAAAATGATATTAGCCTGTTTATGTGTCGCAGAACAGCAAGATAATACCAAACTAGAGAGACTCACTCTAACAGTAATGTTAAAAGCTGGCATAAGACCGACTAGAGTAGCTAAAAAGTGTTGGTTTAAGCTTGGAGTTAGCTTGAAACAAAGCTATCCTTATCCTAACTTATATGGTTATCTAAAAGGATTAAGAAATATTGAAAGTGCTTTTACTAATAGGTTTATGAGTTTTTGGAGTTTTATATATACCGATGCATATGTAGTTTAATTACCAACAATTTGTGTGAATAATTAAGCTTTAGTTTTTGAGATACTTTTAATGGCAATACAAAAGTGATTTATGTTCTTGATCTCTTAATTTCTATAATTGGTATCAGAACGAGATGTTGAAGACAATGACTATGGGTGACATGAAAGAAAGCACAAGGACAAGCAGCAAAGAAATTGGACCCTTGTCCATCAAGTTTCCAGTGTTGACTTCCTCAAACTACACCGTTGATCTCAGTAACAAGAATGATCTGGTTATTGCCTTGATCGTTCAATCTATACTTGAGGCGTTAACACTGCAAGTTGGAAACCTAAACACAGCTAAGGCTGTTTGGGATGCAATTCAGGTTTGTCATGTGGGAGCCGAAAGAGTAAGAGAAGCAAGGTTGCAGAAACTAATGATTGATTTTGACAAAATCAAGATGAAAGAAGAAGATTACAATGATATTTTCGTTGGAATGTTAACCGAAATCTTGTCAAAATCGACCTCTCTTGGAGAAATCATAGAAGAACCAAAACTTGTCAAGAAATTGTTGAAAAGTTTACCAAGAAAGAAGTATATTCACATGGTTGCATCTCTGGAACGGATGTTGGATCTTAATGTGGTTAACCTTGAGGATATAGTTGGAAGATTAAAAGCATATGAAGAGATAATAAGCGAAGAAGAAGAAAAAGTAGAAGAACAACATAATGATCACAGGAAGCGGATGTATGCTAACAGAGAGATCCAATACGAGAACTATGGGACTAATAGAGGAAGGGGACACGGTCGACGAGGCAACTGGAGAAGAAAGAGAGGTCGAGGCCATTTTGGAGGGTTCTACGCATAAAAGGAAGCTTGGAAACAGGGTCAAAACAGAGATAAAGATAAGAGTCACATTACTTACTTCGAGTGCAATAAGATTGGGCATTACGCATCAGAATGCCCTGATAGAAGGCTTAATCTACAGGAAACTGTTGAGAAGAAGGACGAAGATACACAAGATCATACCAATTAATGATGCGTGAAGTAGTGTATCTCAATGAGAAACATGGGAAACCAAGCAACTTCGAAATCGAAAAAGACATGGAGAATTTGTGGTATCTTGACAAGGGAGAAAGCAACCATATGAATGGTAATCGAATGTTCTTTTTAAAACTTGATAAAGGTGTTTCAGGAAAGGTCCGTTTCTGCATAGATATTAAAGGAAAAAAGCTCAATCAGATTTGTTTTGAAGGGAGGCGAGAAGAAAACCCTAAGCAACGTGTACTACGTACATGGGTTACAAAGCAACATTCTTAGCTTAGGCCAAGCCACAGAATGGGAGGTAAGAATGAAACATGACATACTAATGCTCTATGATCGAACATGATATCTAATGATAAAGGCCTCATGATTAATGTATCTCTGTATAAAGTGAACTTATAAGCTGATATCATACGATGCTTGCAAATCACGTCTCCTACCAAATCATCTAGATGACACGCCAGGCTAGGACATGTTAATACCGAGACAATAAATACAATGATAAGAAAGGAACTAGTTTTTGGCATACCCATAGCAATCGTAAAGGAAACTTGTGTGTCTTGTTTACTTGACAAACAAGCAAGAAAGCCTTCCCGCAAGCTACCTCATATAGAGCTACAAGTTCACTTGAGCTTGTCCATGAAGAACTTTGGATTGATGATTTTTCGAGATACATGTGGATTATACTGTTAAAAGAGAAAAGTGAGGCTTTCAGCAAATTCAAATAATTCAAACAACTTGCAGAACAAGAAACAAGGGCAACACTGAAGACATTCAGATCAGACAGAGGAGGTGAATTCATGTCTCATGAACTTGGTAGCTTATTGTGATTCACATGAGATTCATAATCCTAACTTGTTATGGTTATCGAAAAGGATTAGGAAATATTGAAAGTGCTTTTACTAATAGGTTTAGGTTTTTTTAGAGTTTTATATAATACCGATGCATATGTTGTTTAATTACCAACGATTTGTGTGAGTAATTAAGCTTTAATTTCTGAGATACTTTTTAAGGCAATACGAAAGTCATTTGTGTTCTTGATCTCTTGATTTCTAAAATAAAAAGAAGAAGTGAAAAGGTATGCCAACGATTGGAGAAGACAAATTGATGAAGAGATTTGGAAGTGTTGGTGCAATCCTTAAGAAAAATGTATGTTAAGATCCAATCTTAGCTCTTATTATTTAAGTTGATTAGATCTTTAACTTGTTTAGGTTCAACTGATTCATAGCTAGTGATAGATCAAATTCAAAACACAAGAACACACGAGAATTGTTCACCCAATGTTCATTGCACCCCTGAAAATCGAGAGAAGCCGCTATACTCACCATAGTTAGCTCAACTAGCAATTCACTATATAATTAATTTGATTAACAAGTGTTTGTTCTCCGTGTAGTTACTACAAGCACATACACAAGGTCTATATTAGAGAGGATTACTACAGAGATTGCAATGAGGATGACTCTCTGTCAACCTCTGAGTCCCCTGACACCAAGAACTAGCAACCGCGAACTGAAGAAAGAACGGCTATCTAAAGAACTTGGATCACTCCGTGATCTCCCTATCTTGATTAACAGCTTTCTTTTCCTCTGTGTATGATCTCTCTCTCACCTCTGTATTCTCCGAACTCACTGAAACTCTGTATTCGCCACTTCACTTATGAAGAAAACGATGGTTGTTAGGAAATAGATCCCACTGTAACAACTTGTTTACCAATTAACATCAAGCTGCTTTCTTTTAGCTTGGGCTTGAGTGCCAAAGGTCCAAACGTCTTTTGTCTTTAGCCAAACCAAATAGCTCAATCCGAGCCCACAACACAATTTTATAAACTCCATCTTGTCGATCATGTCATTTCTTGTCTTCGTTGAAACTCAAAACTCTCTCGTTCCGACAAACCAAAACCATATCCGAGTCATCCCAGCTCAGCCTCACCGGCTCAACTGGCCACTGCAAATCAAACGACGAACCTCTTTCAAAACCCCTTGAACCCTCAAGCAGTCCCGAACCTCAGAATGTTCAAAGTCTCAAACTTCTGATCGACAAACCAAAACGGTGAAGTCACCGACTCTCTCTCTCTTCCCGTTGATTTTAAACTCCCTGAGAAAATCACAAATAGCTTGAATCCACCATCGTAGAATCTGACAAACCCGGCTCTTCCAGTGCTAGACCAATCTCAGCCTCAAAGCTCAGTCCTTAAAATCTGTAAGTATCACTCCCCCTCTTTCCTGAACTTCATTATCCAGTAAATCCGAGAAAATCCTAACCTTTTGACTGTCTTCTTCAGATAACGAGCACTTGAATCTTTTCGGAGATCAACCAGTAACCCTGCATAAGTATCTGAAACCTTTACTTCTTCGTTAGTTTAGCTTGTTGTTTATCCAAGAGCAAAATACTAACACTTTTGCTCTTGTATTTTCATGTACTCCTTATGCTGAGATGACCAAAACATGACCATCTCAGAGTATGCTCTAGCACGATCAGGCGATAACCCCCAGTGTTACGAAGCACTTCTCGAATGAATGACCAGATAAACTCTTTGTCAACATATATGCTGGGTTTAGAGTAGTGTGAATATGTATAACTCAAACCAACCCCAACTTAATGATGTATCTGATGAAATGAATCTTAGAAGCCATATGCTTAGTCTTGTCATGATGAACTGAATTCTTAGCTCAGCAAATAAGACTTTGAAAATCGCAATGTAGCTTATAAAACTCTGAATTAAACCCCAACTCACTGTAAAACTCCCTTAACCACTACTTTATATAATACATTTCACAATGATTTCAGTGTATAATCTTTCATGTTATGTGCATCAGTTCTCTATCTTATTCGGAAGGATCAAACAATAAAGTTAATCGATTCATTCATATTCTTAACTGGAGAAGGCCGAATAATCAATTTTTCTTGTAAAGAAACAGCATATTAGGAAAAATCTTATGGAACGTCAAATGATGTGCACATGAATTCGTGATTATGTTTTGCATCATTGTTGAAGCAGAATGACCTATTGATCATGGCACACACACTACAGGAAATGTGAGTATTAATAGCAGAATATGATAGC